CCTTATCCTATCATCTCGATAAAAATAATATTAATGACCGTGAGTTTAATATTCACCCGAGTTTAGCTTGAGTCCGGACCAGGCAGAAAACGGATTGCGTGTAGTCCTCTGACCGAGTTTGTGTAGTGGTATTGGATGCACGTAGGGGATTTATGAACAGTCAGTTATCCGATGATATGAGCGTTGACTTTGTGTGAGATGTGGACCAGTGACCTGTTAAAGAATGGCTAGTTACATGACCTTATTACTTAAGGTGATTATGGATTCTTGTGAGATGTAGGTCAGTTGTATTTTTTTCATGCATAGATCGAGATTAATATTTAATTATCTACAATTTGAGACATATGGTATATACATGAGGGTTTTCTTGTCTGGATTATTTCGCTTGACGTACTACGTCTCTTGTTATAGATTTTTAAGTATAAATTCCATATAGTTGTATGATATGGCTACTTAGATGATTATTCTGAGGGCTTTTTTTTAGGTCCATTTGTTTATTTAGCTTTATCTTTAAACCCAAGAATTATTAGGTGTATCTTTAAACCCAATTTTTTTTGTATTTATCTTTAAACCCAATTCCAAAATATAATACTCTCATATGTGGGTCCCCCTATATACCAAAATATAATACTCTCATATGTGGGTCCCCCTATATAAGGAAATTGGGTTTAAAGATAAATACAAAAAGAAAGTTGGGTTTAAAGATACAACTGGTCCCCCTATATAAGGAAATTGGGTTTAAAGATAAATACAAAAAGAAAGTTGGGTTTAAAGATACAACTTATAGTACTTGGGTTTAAAGATAAAGCTAGGTAAACAAATGGACCTAAAAACAAAAAGCCCTTATTCTGATCGCTTGCTGCATGATCGACTTGTTACTTGGTTGATTTTGTTGGATCTCCAATTGCACGTTTCTTTATCATTTCTGTTATTGTATTATTTTTCGCATTGGGTTTTCGTTCGTTCTTTTGTTTTATGGGGTCTTGTCGTGTCCCATGCATGCTGACATATACCTATTTTCTCTGGTGTACGTCAGACTTAGAGGAAGAACAGGTCCAGCTTAGAGACAAGCCATAGCCAAAGTATTCTCAGCAAGAGTGCCTAGAGGACGGAGCAGAAAAAGAAACCGAAGCTTAGTTATTCCTTTCAGTTTATTTTTGTAGCACTTTCATTTCCATTTGATCAGTGTAGTTTTATATTCTCCAGTATTTCATTCAGATAATTTTTTATAAGGGCATGTTTGACCCAAATATTTTATATCTCGGATGATCTACTTTTGATGATATGTCTATTTCCTATTCTGTATTGTTCATTATATTCTTGCTAATTGTGATCGGGGACCCACGCCTTTGAATTTATTTCTTGATGCTTAGTATATTAGGTTGAGGAGGAATATTTATTTTTATTTATTCTCCTTAATCTAATACGTCGCGGGCTTGTTCGCGTTCTGATTCCCGGGTATTTTGGGAAGCGGGACGTGATATTTTAGGATGGCTAGTATTTGACCCAGTTACTGTATGCAGATAGCTTTATGTTTATCATAATTTAGTAGTGGATTGCATTTTGACTTGTTAGATTTTTAGTTGTTCGTATCTTTGTCTGTTCTATTATTATTACTGTCATAGCATGGGTCGTTCAACCGTTTCATTCTTCCACGTGGGATTTTGCCGTGTGCTATGCACGCTGACGTACACCTGTTTTCTTTAGTGTGTGTCATATTAGGGGACAGACAGGTCCAGTTCGATGATGCAGCAAAGCCGGTGTATGCCCTGCCGGAGTGTCTTTCTGATGGAGTAGAAGAACAAACTGCAGCGTAGTGGTTTTTTGTAGTAGTTGTGGAACATTAGAACTCTTTTACCGTACTTTTCTTTTGTTAATGATGGATTTAGTATTTTTAGTAGTACTTTCTTTTATTATGGACTATGTATTTTTATATTCCTAGTTAGACCGTTTTTGTAATAAGGGTATGTTTGACCCATATTTTTATGTCTAGGATGATCTACTTTTGATGATATGTCTATTTCTTATTCTGGGTTGTTATTATATTCTTACTATTGTGATCGGGGACCTATGACTGATATTCTTGTGTTTGACGCTTAGCGTATTAGATTGAGAAGAAAAAAAAAGAAAAAATTTCGTGTATATTTCTCCTCAATCTAATACGTCGCGGGCTTGTTCACGTTCCGATTCTCGGGTATTTTGGGAAGCGGGACGTGACACTATGACAGTCAAAAGGAATGTGTGGTGACGTCAACCACATAAACTCTGAAAAGAATTTTCAATTTCCTCATTTAATGCACACCCACGTCCGTCCAGAGCTGCTCTCATTTCACTTAGACCCGGCCCAAACCGACTCCAAGCGAAAGAGGCCAACTGTTGTGGCGTTTTTAGTCGCCAAAGTATGGCCCTTTGCCAGCAATAGACAAGTGTCCCCCTACATGCACCGCTCAAATCGAATTGACGGTTAGGACCACCAAGAATTCCGATTTAACTGACTCGCCGAGTCGGCATCTTCTTAGGTTAACTCGAAAGACGGTACTTGTCAGTTCTCTTGTCGACGACGACTCGCTACGAGCCCACTCGACCAGTTATTCGACACATCGCAGGGTCGACTCGAAAGACTTTACTTCTCGACACCCCTCGCTACAAGCCAAAGGACGAATTCAACCTCGAAGCTCTCCTGCTGACAACACATCGAAGTCACATTAAATGCTTGACAGACGCCATCATTTCTCCATCCCCTACACTATTTATGACATATCGGACCACGCCGGCTTCGTGCGCCGCCCATCGCATCTCATTAATGACGAAATGATAACGCCCATCAAGCAGCCGATCCACGACCGACACCTGTAAAGTAGATGTTGACTTAGCCGCCAGCTCAGGCTTGACCAAAAAGACTAGACTACTCCTCTTGCTTGGCTATAAAAAGAAAAACTATTCCAAATACAAGGGTAAGCAATTTCTCAGCATCTTTCTCTATCCCGCTGTATTTTTCTCATATTCTCACTCAAGTCCTTAACTGACTTGATCATCAGAGGAACAATGGGGGAAGCAGTCCCCGCCGTCTTACGAGTAGTTACGTGTGCAGGGACGAACAACCCAACTCCAAATCAGATATTCGGAAAAGCGAGCGGCCCCCATTTCAACTCAATCCTTACCCACTTACTCTTTTAATTGTGTGATTAAACTGTCAATAATATTATTTACTAATACTTTCTTAAACAAAGTACGCCACGCCCAACGCACGTGTGGCATATTAGTTAAATATAGAGGGGTGTTAGGGACACACCCTTGGGCACACCACCAACCACACTCCCCCTCTATCTACAGTGCAGGCGCCCCACATGTGATTTTTTAAAAAAATCACATGGTAGATAGAGGGGGAGTGTGGTTGATGGTGTATACAAGAGTGTGCCCTATCATTTCTTTTAAGGGCCTGTTCGTTTGCCTAAAAAAAAGAGGGAAATCAAAGAAATGGAAAACTATTAAAATGAAGAATTGTTTTTGGAGTGTTTGGTTGGCTAAAAAAGAAGGAAATCAAAGAAATTAAATTGAAATGATGTTAGTTGTCACCTTATTATTGGATGCTGTTTGTGATTTTTTAAGAAAACTAGTTTTGGAGTGTTCTGTTGGCGAAAAAAATAAGGAAATGAATTATAAGAAACCTATTTCCTGTAGTTTCTTGTTTTCTTTTGTTCGGTTCATTCTTAAAAATAAGAAATGAAATGAGATGAGATGAGTTGTCATTGTATTATTGGGTGATGTGAAGAAAGATTAAGAAAAGTGTTTTCATAACTTTTTGGGATGAAAATGAAGAAATGAAATGTTAATGAGATGAGGTGAATTGTTATAATATTTTATTGGATGATGTGAGTGATTTGAAATGATGAGAAGAGATGAGTTGAGTGATGTTTGGATGAAAATAATATTTTATTAGATGTGATGGATGAGTTGTTAGATAAAAATAATATTTTATTAGATGTGATGGATGAGTGGTTAGATGAAAATCATATTTTATTAGATGATGTGGATGAGTTGTTGGATGGAAATAATATTTTATTGGATGTTGTGGGTGAGTTTTAGGGATGGAAATGGAGGAAATGGTGAGTTTTGAGATTTTCACCATTTCCATTTCCATTTCTTGGTTTTTAGAAAACAAACGACCAGGCCCTAAATATAAATGTAGTCAAATGCTGACTAGAACATGGACCTCCTTACTGGAGCAGCTGAACATAGTTATAATACCTCGTGGGTACTGTTGATCAGCATTAATAGCTCTTAAAGGTGATTTGATGTTTTACCACTTTCCAGCTCTATAACAAAAGCAGAAATGAATCCACAATGGACATCTATGCAAATAATAAGAGTTAATTACACGAAATCTTTAGAGCTTTTGGATAGATGAGTGAAATTCCATCAACTTTAAGCTACATTAAATTAGGTTAAACTTTATTAGTTGTCGCATATGACTCCTATAAGCTATTTTATTTCGCTAAATCTTATATAAAAATTTCTCATTTAATCTGCAAATTAACACCATCAATGCTAACATTTCATATAGAAAATGTTAAAAAAGATAAAATTAATTCTTTGGTCCCAAAAAAGTTATCTAATTTTTCTTTTCAATAAAAGGTAATTTTTTGGAACAGGGAAAAAAAATTTCATCTTCTTTTTACGTGCTGTGCGCGTTAGAGTTAATAATGCTAATATAGGGATTAAAAAATAAATTGTAAGACAAGATTTAGTAAAGTAAAATAGTTCATGGGGATTGTTTACAATAACTCCTAAAATTCAAGAGTAATTAGGCTAGTAAAAAGTTGATAGGGGCGTGCGTACCGCAACTTCCCAAAAGTTCATGGAAGTTTTATGTAATTAACCCTGCAAATAATTATCACGGCGAAGATAAAAGGTATCTAAAATCCATATTAAAAAAGGGGTGTACATGCAAAAAGCCACATTATCTAATCATTTAAAAAGCAGTCCAAATTAGTTTAATCCTTCGCTTTCTTTTTCATTCATCTGACGACGAAGGTGGAAAGAAAGCGGCCGAAGGCGCAGTTGCGAAGAGTCAAAGCGACGTTTTCATTTTGCATTTGATTTTTTCTCCAAAAATTCGGGATTAATTCGTGCGATTTCGGATTCTTCCATCTCAGGTACCGTTTCTTGTTACTTGCCACTGACCATTTCTTGAATTTACCGCGGTTTAATTCGTTGAAGAAGAAGTGATGAATTGGCGTTAGGTCTTCGCTCTCTTTGGGTTCTTGGCTTCTAGGGTTTAGTTTTTGGAGATATTGAGGAAATTAGGGTTTTGTAGCTGTATCTGTATCTGTTGGGGTTTAACTGTTGATAACGGGAAATCGTTGTGGATTTACGCTTTTGATATAATTTAATTCATTTCGATCTGTTACTATGTGTATCGTCGATTTTAGCGATTTCTTGAAGTTTCGTGATGACTTTTTTAAGAGTTTGAAATGTCGAATTGGATGAAATATCTTTTGTTTCCATTAATAGAAAGAGAGGATATTTTTTTGATGGTTAGTTAAATTTCGGCTCATCATCTTTTAGGTTAACCCTGATGTGTTTATTGATCATTTTGCGGTGCAAAATATAATTTTTCTTCTTATTGTTCATTAACTTAGCGGAAAAAGAGGAATAAGGTTATTGAAATATATTAGGGTTTCTGTGTCACTCTTGTAATTATTTAATTACAAGGCTCGTGGTAGCTTGAAGAGGATTGTTCCTGTGCAAATTGCATATTATTCCTATTGCGCTGCCGGCTAGATTTTGCTATAGGTTTTTCGTACATATCATCTTGAGGAAAATGAGATGCAAAAATTTAGGTTTTCTGCCTCATGTTAATGTCGTGAAGCCTAGCATATTAACACAGAGTTAAGGTGTTTTTTTCTTTTTGCATTAACACTCTTGATGTGTTTGCTTTTGATATTTGTCAGGACTATTGGCTTAGGCAGAACAATCTTACTCAGTAGAAAAGTGACACCAAAGAAGACCTCTTTAGGCAATGTTACTGGCTTGTTGATATGGATTCTGCAAGGAGTTGGTTCCAAAAATTCCAACCTAGAGACAAGATGAAGCCTGGGGTCTCTGGGGCAACCAAGAATAAGGAGTCAGAGAGTTTTCAGAAGCCCCCAATTGATGAGGCACCTTCAAACATCACGAAGCAGAAGGTTGCTGCTGCTAAGCAATATATTGAGAATCACTACAAGACCCAGATGAAATCCTTACAAGATCGAAAAGAGAGGTAAATCTGATTATGCTTCCTTAGACAAAATTTTACTTAGTGAAATACCAAAAGAATACAGGTAACATTGGTCACTGTGATTCTTCTCATATAAGTTGTTTTTTGAAGAAAAAGTTTTTGGTCAAAGGTGTTTGGTTGAGATTGGTTGATCCACTTAGCTGACCTCATGTTAATGAGATAATTTTTTGTAATTTGGCTATCCTCTTATGCTGATTAGTTTATTGTTCCTTTCTTGCTTGACCACCCTCATATAAGAATGCCTTATGAACCAAGTGAAAAGAACCATCCCGTATGAACAGAAGGAAGATGCCCCCTTTTTTTAATGGAAGCGCTTTCTTTTTGACAAAGGTTGGAAAATTTTCCTCTGGGTCAGATCGGGTGGGTTTAGGGTTTCACCAAAAGTCATATTTTAGGTTCTTACTAGTAGATTCGGTCTTCGTGAAGAAGCTTTTTAAAAATACAAGCTTCCATTTTTTTCATTTCACCTTTGTAGATAAGTGAATGAACTTGCATTTTTTGTTCCATTCCTTTAACCGTCAGGAGTGAATATTAGAACTTCATATTAGAACTATGACTGTATACGTAGTAGCTTATAGTTCAGTTAGTAACTTATAGTTCAATAGTTTAATATTTGTTCTTTAAACCATAAATAGGAACTTATAGTTCAATAGTTGTTTCTTTGAACTATGCTTCATGATTTTTATGGAACATTTTCAATTTTTAACCAAGTTATTTTCAGTTTCTTGTTAAAAGTGCTGCAAGATGTTTTATCCTTTTAGCAACTGCACTTGATATTTGTATATTTCTTGCACTATAACCTGATTTACTCTATTGAAGTTTGTCTGTTCTTTATGCTTTGTAATGTTTAAAGTCTTGATATAATGAGCTTTTGTAGAATAACTCGTTGATCCTGTTTGTGGAAACATGATCATGAATTCCAAAATTTTAGGCGGTGGATCTTGGAGAGGAAGCTTGCTGATGCTGAAGTTACTGAGGAGGAGCAGAGCAATCTTTTGAAGTACTTGGAGCAAAAGGAAACTGAATACATGCGTCTTCAGAGGCACAAAATGGGAGTTGATGATTTTGAACTGCTGACAATTATTGGGAGGGGCGCATTTGGAGAGGTTATTTACTTACTTTCTTTCTGACATGGTGACAAATGAACATGTTTGGAGAAATGTCTGTTCTTTCTTCATTTATGAATTACATCTTCTGCGTTATGATTATCCTTTCTGTGCAAATGGTCCCTTTTTATTGCAGTTTTACAGATTTTTTTTAATGTTTTGGAAAATTTCTGCTTTACATTACACACTAGAACAGTACTTGTTAACGTGATTTGGCGAACAAAAAAGCAGCTAATAACTAATATGTACTGAACTAGTATAGTGAAATATTATGACAAATTAGCAAAGAAGAAAATTAGGGTAATAAATAGAGCACCCGGTCCGCCCCCAAAAAAAAAAAAAAAAAAAACCTTAGGCGGAGAAAAGAAAAGGCGAAGGGTTGATCCGTGTCATGGCGTGCCTATCTCCATTTCTAATTATTAGGCATTGCAACATTTGTGCTATTCACTCGGATCTGGACTGCGAAAGGGGAGGGGGGGGGGGGCATGGTTACTTGTCTGGTACTGAGACCAACGTTCCTCGCACCAAAAAAAAGTTAGGGTAAGAAAGTCCTACGATATCTCAATCCAATATAAATTACATGCTTAAAAACAAGAGGGGGCGGGGGTGAGGAGGGAGATATGAGATGTGACCCTTGAGGGGCTGAGCAACGTAGCAAGATTAGGTGCATGTTCTTCTAGGAAGGAGTTCCATGTATATGAATACATTTGAGGAAGTATACCGAAATGGCATACAAGCCTTATGGCTACAAATTTAGATTTGCTTCGAACTGAGCAAAGTAGCAAACCAATACTGTCTTAGAACCAGGAGCTGAAATTAGGAAACCTTTTTAGAATAAAAATAAAGCTCAGTTGTAGATACCATTGAACGAGTGCTAGGTTTAAACCTTGCTGAAATAATATATAGTCCTCCATCTCTGCTTTGGCAAGTTGACATCCGTACCATGATGCCTATAATTATTCTGCCATTCAGCATTCTATGTGTTCCCATGGGCTATTCAAATTTTTTCGTATAGTTCATAAGGGTCAAGTGCTATCTAACAAATATATTTACTACCTTTTTTTGAAAAATTAGAATTACTCCTATTGTTTCATTATAAAGTTCTCTCCGTAAAATCGTGTGCGCGTGTGTGCGGGTTCGTGTGTGGGTGCATGTGCAGATGTGTGTGTTTTTGCACAGGCACGCGCACATACGCACTCTCGTGCACACTTGTAATTATATGCCCATATGTACATTTGTGCATTTATACATATATGCTTATAGGTTAACAAAGTAGGTGTGTAACAGATGCATGATAGGTAGCGTGGTACCTTAACTACGTGCAATGCACATAAAGGAGATTATTGTTTAAATTCCAGAGAAGAGAGATCTTGACAAATTTGTTGGATTATTGAGTATTTCTCCTTCTCTGTTGCATTCTTTTAGCATGGTTAATGGATAAATTAAAGTTGTTTTATGCGTCTGCGTCGAGTATGTCGTTCAGTTATTTCTTATGCAAGCATAGGTGTTGCTTGTACAAATTAGGAGCTGAATTCTACTTTGAACTCTAATTTTACTACTTTGCATAGTCCGAAACATTTGTTCTGAAAATTAAATAACCTGCTGAGATTTAGTTTGCCTCAGTTCTTTTTTGTATAGTCAGATAAAATTTTCAATTATACTGAATTCTTCTCGTTCTCAGTCTCTAGACTGGCATGTTTTTTCAGAAACTCAAATGAAAATTTGACCCTCTTAATTACTGGTGGGAACATAAGGGAAATATACAGAAAAATTGTTGTTTGGATTAATTTTTATTATTTTTTATGGATTCTGTTGAGCTGAGATGGTCATCTTTTTTAATTGAAAGTGATATGTAATTTTCATCTATATATTGATTTGACATTAGCTAGTATTTTCTATTACCACAGGTGAGACTTTGTAGAGAGAAGACCACAGGACACGTCTATGCAATGAAAAAACTTAAGAAGTCTGAAATGCTTCGTAGGGGCCAGGTTTCATCTCAGCGGTCTACTAGATTATTAAGATGTGTTAGCTTGAAAATTTACTGATGTTTTTGTGCATGCACTTTTAGGTGGAGCATGTCAAAGCTGAAAGAAATCTTCTTGCAGAGGTTGATAGTGCTTGTATTGTGAAACTCTATTGCTCTTTCCAAGATGATGAGTTTTTGTATCTCATCATGGAATATCTTCCTGGTGGAGATATGATGACATTACTGATGCGCAAAGATACATTGACAGAAGATGAAGCCAGATTTTATGTTGGACAAACAGTATTAGCTATTGAATCTATTCACAAACACAATTATATTCATAGGTATATATTTGGTTATTCTATTCACACCCTAGCTGACAAACCAGATGGTACAGGTATTCAACTAAAGGGCCTCTTTTCTCTGTAGGGATATAAAACCTGACAATTTATTGTTAGACCGAAATGGTCACATGAAGCTCTCCGATTTCGGACTGTGCAAGCCTTTGGATAGTAGTAGCTTTCCAAATTTGAGCGAGCCTGAGTATGCCGTGGGACGCAACGTAACTCCTACATCCAACAGTGATAAGCGTTTCTCGTCCCCTGCACCCAGGCGTACACAACAAGAACAACTATTGCATTGGCAAAAAAACAGGAGAACATTGGTGCGTCAGATTTTATCTCTATTTATTTTGTCCCTTTCATGACTATTTATTATTCACACAAATAGAATGTTAGATATACAAATTGAACAAGTTTCATGAATTTTCGGCCTCATTGATGAATATATAAAACTTGAAGTTTTTTGGGGGATACTAGGTGGCTATCTAGGTTGTCAATTTTCACTCGTTCAGGCTTGTATATGTTTTGAGCCTGCTCCTACACTTGTAATTTTGCTTTCCAATTGTTCATTGATCGGCAACTTAACATTTAAACAATGTATATCATGCTGACATAACATTTAACGTTGGTGGAATATGTTAGGTGCCATATGGGGTTTATATGTTGGAGACCCAAAAAAATAAAAAATAAAAAAAATAATGTGTGTGTGTGTGTATATATATATATATATATAGAGAGAGAGAGAGAGAGAGAGAGAAGCTCCTATAAACTTAAGTGGATAGAGATACTTCTCCACCAAGAGAGAAGCTCCTATAAACTTAAGTGGATAGAGATACTTCTCCACCAACTTTTTTATCCATTAGGTTTGCTTTGAGATTTGTGCAAAATATGAAGGATATCTTTGAGATGTGTGCATTGATTTGCATCACATGCTAGCACAAATCTCAAAGCAAATCTAATGGATAAAAAAGTTGGTGGACAAGTGCTTCTATCCACTTAAGTTTATAGAGGCTTTTACTCTATATATATATATGTGTGTGCGTGCGTGCGTGTCTATATATATATTATTATATATATATAATATATATATATATATATATATATATATATATTATATATATATATATATATATATATATATATATATATATATATATATAATAATATATATATATATATATATATATATATATATATATATATATATATATGAGAGAGAGAGAGAGAGAGAGAGAGAGAGAGGAGAGAGAGAGAGAGAGGGGGGGGTATGCTTGGTACAGCACCAAACTTGGTGCTTACATTTGTTTCTATTGTTTGGCTAAATTGCATCTAATATTTTCTACTGAGCTAAATATTTCTGTTTAGACGTTATAAAACATGCCTACAATTATCCTTTATCTGTAGTATGGCTAAGGTGCAGTTTAATGTCACCCTGGTGTTTTGTCGCAATGCTAAAAGTAGTTGGGTATGGTTTGAATATGTCCGCCCCCCCCCCCCCCCCCAAAAAAAAAACAGCTATATTCTACTGTTTGGAAACACCGCCAGATTACATTGCTCCTGAAGTTCTTTTGAAGAAAGGATATGGAATGGAGTGTGATTGGTTAGTTTTGATACCCCTCTATTCTCTTTTTCAACAGTATTTTATTTACTTATCATGCATCCTTTATCAGGTGGTCTCTTGGAGCAATAATGTATGAGATGCTTGTCGGTTACCCTCCATTTTATTCTGAAGATCCAATGTCAACCTGTAGAAAGGTATGAACACATCCAAGAAAGAATTTGAAAAACCAACGGTTTAAATCAAATAAAACCTAACATTGGGTTCTATTGAAACATTGTATTTGGTACTACATTGCATGATGCATGATGCATGAAGCATTCTGGTTGTCACTGATACACTATGAAAATCTTTGTATGCAGAAGTTGCAGTGCGTTTTATTAGTTAAGAGAACTCGTACAGTCTACATGACTAGATATGAATAAGAAAATCTTCATTGCAGTGGCTTGCATGTCTGAAACTTAAAATCTTCACTCTAGTGTGTAACTCTTAATTTTTGTCTACTTGAAACTTTAATTTCAAGGGTTTCTCTTGTCCGTAGATTGTTAATTGGAGAAATCACTTAAAATTTCCTGAGGAGGCAAAGCTTTCACCTGAAGCTAAAGATCTCATTAGCAAACTGCTCTGTAATGTTGAACAGAGGCTTGGAACAAGGGGAGCCCACGAAATAAAGGTTTGATAGTTTATTATCTCCATTTTCATTCGGGTTTTCCACAATGTTGGGAATCAGCTTTAATGCCATGTCTCTTGTGAACTTCAGGCACATCCATGGTTTAAAGGTGTCCAGTGGGATAGACTATATCAAATGGAAGCTGCTTTCAAGCCAGAGGTGAAGGATGAGTTGGACACTCAAAATTTTGAGAAATTTGAGGAGGTAGGCTTTTCAGTTATAATGTTAAATTTGAGACGATAGCCCCTATTATTCTAGATGTGTTGGCTTATTGATAATCTGTGAGATGTCTCTACCTTCATACATCAATAATTTAGCAATATCCGTTTACATTTTTTAGGATGAAATGCAAATGTCTGCAGTGCTCACTTGTTGTTGGGGGGTGGGCATCTGTATTATAGATTTTATGCCTGTTTTACTGTATTTTTACTGTTCTCATGATACAAAAGAACCTAGTTTTCTAGTGCGTCATTGTACCTTCTGTTTCTGTTTGTAGTGCAAATAGAACCTGAGCATTTACTAAAGAACAAAATCTTCCTCTGTCATTTTCGCAAATAATACAATTATTTGGTGTGTTTTTTATTTATTATTTTATAACTTTTATTGATAAGGTGCCTTTTCTTTGGTTGAGTAATGGTTATGTAGACATACTTGATTCCTGACCTGACATGCTAGCAGTTCTTTGCTGCTTGATTCACACCGGAAACAGGCCAAATGTATTGACCTGCGGTTGACTTGCCTATAATATTTTTAGGACTTTGTTTGCTTCTCAAGATCTGTTATTGGATGATCTTACCTCATGAACATAGCCGGCAAAATCTTTTGATAGCAAATTAGCAATATTTCTTCAGCTTTGAGGATTAAATTATTCAATACACATGGATTAAGGAGTAGGTAAAACTAGTGTATGAATGCTAAGTTGGTCATGAGGATTACACTCCTATGTTCTGAAACATGGGTTGTGTTATGCTTTGGTCTGGTAACATGTAATGCATAAATGAATTGTGTGTTGAATGTTGATTAAACAGATTATGCAGAATTGCACAGATTTTATTTTTTAATATATATAATTCAAAGTTCAGAAAAAAAGCTGAAAAAGTAGGGATGTTGTAATGAAATAGCTAAGAAAAACTATGATTCAAGACAATGAGGCTTTAGAGCTAACATCAGACAGTACGACAAGAATTTTACAAAAATAGAAAGAAGTACAAGGAAAAGAGAAATTAGGGAGAAAAAAAATACATGTCACCAACAATCGCCGTGTAGTTGTTGTCACACTTTTTAACCAATTGTCACCATAGTGTCATCTTTGTCTATTGCTATCTTAATGTTTCTTTCCTATCCTCTGATGAACAGTGTGTTCTTCTGATCACGCTCCTTTGTTCCATTCATCTCCACATTATGTTCTCTTCTGCAATTTTATACTTTGAAAGGATACTGAGATTGGTTTGAGATAGGCTGGTTCATATGGGGTATAGGTTAATTTAGGATCTTATCCAATTTGACCTATATTCAACTCTAATCATTAAACTTCACAGGAATTATCAAGATCTGCTAAGGAACAAGTTGGGATAATGTGAGATTTTGGCGAGACCCTATTCACATTTGCTTTATGCTTGGACAAAAAATATATACATATAAAGACAGATAATGCCAAAAATGAACTTTGAAAGTGCTTTCATAGACCTTAATTCACTTTTTCTTTTCTATTTTTATTCAACTGTTTACCCAACATTAATCAATTTGTGTTTTTATGTAGTCTGCAACTCCAATGCAAACTTCTTCAAAATCTGGCCCCTGGAGGAAGGTAATATTTGCTCTTTTCCTTGATCTATGTTCTTCATGTCTAGAAGAATATCACAGGATTATATCCTGTTGCCACATGCATATAATAATTTGGCTTATTATACATGACGATGATATTGGGCATAAAAATTATGAAAATTTCATTGATGTAGTAGGATATTGATATCAGTCTACATCAGAGGTTACTAGGATAAGTTTGATATATTTATATTGATATTCCTATGATTATACTTTGAAATGATGCTACACCCTTTTGCATCTAATCGTAACCATGTGTTCTTTGCTTAATGTTGATTTTATTCTGATTTAATCAATTTTCTTACACTTTAGTGCTAGATTCTGATGACACAATCATTTTCTTGTTTAAGGATCAACTTGTAATTTATGTATGTTTGCTTATGTGCTGAATTTTGTAATATTACCTTACTTAAAATATGATCCCTTGGTGCTAATTTCTGACAAGGACAATGAACTTGGGCATTGTGCTGCTTGAGAGGGCCTGGATCTTCTATGCAAATAGAAATTGTAGCTGATGGGCAGCAAATGAATGGATACTCTGAGATAGAATGACAAAAGTCATTTTGACTGATGCTCTTGTTTTTGTGACGTAAATAGATGGAAGGTGGGTTGGTGATGAACATAAAATAATAAAGATTTTAGAATGTGATTTTGGGAACAGCGCCATGGAAGATTGGGGGTAGTTAATCATGTAATGGCAACTTTTCTTGTTTTTCTTTCAGTTTCTTCTTTGCTTCTCCAGTTTTAGGGGATTATGTGAAAATTTATGTCAGCCCGCGAACATACTACTAAAAACTGCTTTATGCTTAGTAATTGAACCGTCACCCAACCTATTGAAGAGTTGACCTTACATGGAATAGATATTTGTGATTTTGTTTCTCTTTTAGTGTGTTTTACATATCCAGTTTTAGTTAATTGGGTGAGCTATGCAATCACCTACTTGCATAGTATTGAAAGTGGTCCAATCCATTCACGGACCCTATACGGACCCTATACATAGCATAGTATAAAAAGGAAGCTCATCTTAACATTGAAGATCTACACCCAATCATGCTAGGAGTTCCGCAGGTGTAGTTTTACGCATGTTTCAGTATAGTCTAATGATTACGCAGAAGACCGAAACTGTCATATGGCCTTCTTGGGTAATTGAACTTCGGCAAGCCTAGTTCTTGACTTCTGCCAAGTATAATTTTGCTTGTTATTCAGGTAATGCTGGGTAGATCTTGTACCACTCTGTGTGCCCTCAGGAAAAGTGTGAAATATTTGGTGCTGGAAGGCATCGCTTGTAAATTTGGTTCTTTTTTGAAAGCTGTGAAAGTTTCTTTGTTTTGTTACTGGTCATATGTAGCTCAGACATACTATTTCTTCAGCTTAAAAGATAGAGATTGAGCTTCTTCTCTGATGTATTGAACTTTACTAAACCCTCTTTCCATATTTCCTGCTCTGGACTGAAGAATTTTCTTCTCTTTTTAACAGATGCTTTCATCCAAAGATGTGAATTTTGTCGGTTACACTTACAAGAACTTCGAGATTGTTAATGACCATAACATCGCTGGCATTGGTTGTCTAATCTCTTCCTTTCTCTCTTTTACGTCATTTCTTCTCCTTGCTTTTGATCATTTTGATTTGACAAGGTCCTTATATCATCCTTTAACCCACTCTTTTTTTGGCACATACAGCTGAGCTGAAGAAAAAGAACAAGCCAAAAAGACCATCTATCAAGACATTATTTGGTAATTATTCTTGTGAGCATTTGGTTCTAAAGTTTCTCAACTGCACATATCATTCTAACAATTTTTGTTGTTTCAGAGTCGGAAGCAGCTCCCGATGAGGCTGCCCAAGGGAGTTTCCTCAAGATGATGCCTACACATATGGAGGTTTCTGAAAGCCCCGAGCCATCACCTCACTCCAGCAAACCACCACCTTACCAACCCCAATCTCGACGTAGATAGAAAATGGTATTTATGAGTAACTGGTCATAACCGAAGAATCCAAGAGCAGAGGGGGGAAGAAAAAGGAATTCTTCCATCGGTGCTCTACTCTACTGTTTAGTCTTTGGTCCCATTTATATGTCTGTTTAACAGACCATTCATTCCTCTTCCTTCACCTATCTTCCATCACCTAGATAAAGGTGGGAGGGGTAGAGGTATGGATTTTGGTCCCTCACTGTAAATTTGTGCTTATCACTCGTACCGTTGAATTCGGGTTCTAATTTGTTACATTGTTTTTCCGGTTGAACATGAAAAGCGGTTATTCTTTCATTCAGAACCTAGATCAATGATGGTCAGTTTGTAATCTGAAGGCATATGTGTCCTGCGAAGCAAACCTATGATGTGAATGGGCGAGAACGCAGCAGTTCAGTATGGATAAGTTGTTTGTAATATATTTTTGAATGATCTTTTTCGTTGTTGTTTAAATACAACTTATTGTAGAGGCATCATTTATTGATTTCTAAGCTCCGCTTTCGTTCTTATCTGACATTGGATGAAGAGTCTGGATTTAATTAGAAATTTAAAGGTTAAGAATGAACAGGTTCAGGTGCACCAAGCTTCCTGATTTTGGAGGTTAAGCAGTAACGTGTTCCTGTGTACCCAAATTAAATTTCTTAAAGCCCTAACGAATGGAATGGATATCTGACAAATGTGAGGAGAAAGCATCCCAAGGTTGTTTTTTTAAATAGAAACCAGCTTAGGAAATACGATAATTATACAGAAATCACCATCGGTGCTCTACTCTACTGTTTAGTCTTTGGTCCCATTTATATGTCTGTTTAACAGACCATTCATTCCTCTTCCTTCACCTATCTTCCATCACCTAGATAAAGGTGGGAGGGGTAGAGGTATGGATTTTGGTCCCTCACTGTAAATTTGTGCTTATTACTCGTACCGTTGATTTCGGGTTCTAATTTGTTACATTGTTTTTCCGGTTGAACATGAAAAGCGCTTATTCTTTCATTCAGAACTTAGATCAATGATGGTCAGTTTGTAATCTGAAGGCATATGTGTCCTGCGAAGCAAACCTATATTGTGAATGGGCGAGAACGCAGCAGTTCAGTATGGATAAGTTGTTTGTAATATATTTTTGAATGATCTTTTTTGTTGTTGTTTAAATACAACTTATTGTAGAGGCATCATTTATTGATTTCTAAGCTCCGCTTTCGTTCTTATCTGAGATTGGATGAAGAGTCTGGATTTAATTAGAAATTTAAAGGTTAAGAATGAACAGGTTCAGGTGCACCAAGCTTCCTGATTTTGGAGGTTAAGCAGTAACGTGTTCCTGTGTACCCAAATTAAATTTCTTAAAGCCCTAACGAATGGAATGGATATCTGACGAATGTGAGGAGAAAGCATCCCAAGGTTGTTTTTTTAAATAGAAACCAGCTTAGGAAATATGATAATTATACAGAAATCACCATTCAATGTCAATTCATACATAAACAGTCCTTAGAGTGAGTTTTTATTATAGTCAATCACCTCTTAGGGCCTGTTTGGTAGATAGGAGGCACGAGAAGTAAGAAGTAAATTAAATTTATTATTTTTAAAATTATAAAGTAAAAAGTAGCGGAAGTAATTTTTTTGTTCGTTGCATAATTTTTTGGAAGTACAGGGAATAGCATTTCTTCTAATTTATTCACTTTTTTTATTTTGCAGCAATTATAAATATTGTTAGGAATTGAGAAAGAGCATCTTTTGAGATTTTATTTAGAAATAAAGAATATCTATGAAATAACAAAAATGATTTTATTCCTAAATCAACTCAATTTCAGCTACTTTTGAGCCTTGAGGGGAGGAAAAAGATTTAAGAAATAGAGATGACATTTAGGCGTCATGCCAGTTTTTAAAGAAGTACTAGAAGTAGTTTTTCCAGATAAACAAACATATTTTTCTTCTAGGAAGTAGCAAAAATAGTCCATACTTCAGCTACTTCATAGCTACTTTCGTGTAAACAAATAGGCCCTTAATCAAATTCTCACTAAAAATTCAAAAATATCCTTAAAACTCACATTTAAGGCATGTGCACTAATTTTTTTAGTATTTAGTTCTTGTTAAAATATAACTCACATATCTTAAACTTGAATTGTTTAAGGTTATTTTTGGTTTTTTACTAAAAATTTAATTAGAAGGTGGTTGATTAGAACAATAATTCACTTTAAAAGTGATTTATGCATAAAATAAAATTGAAAGGTGATTTTCAATTATCCTAATCTATGAAAAAAACTCAATAAGTTATTATATTCTTCTTTTATGAACGTACATTGTACAACTGCGTTGCAAGCTATAGTGGGCTCTCTGTATAAAAACCATACAGCGAAGAGTCAGACCGTGATGCGTGTTACGCTATTAATCAAACCCGACGCAACTAGTATACAGTATCAGTGCGCTAGTTCAACTCCTAATACTACATCAGCGCACTTAGATATTTGAATCACAGAGAAGAGAAAAGATGATATCTTTGAGGGGGGCTCCGGTAACATGTTAGGAGTTTGTTTTTTGTTCTTTTCTTTGTTGTGTTTTCTCATGGAGATTAATCCACTATTTATAGGCCGAAATCCCATCATCTCCACCCCCTCAAACCGTTGGTCACACAAGACCAAGTCAGACTAACATCTCCTACTTGACCAAATCAACCAAGTGACATGCCTCCCACTATTCGTGAGATCGGATGTTTCTGCTTACCATTACTCCCACTATCCGTAGAGAGTAACTCTTATTTCATTATTCATAAAATTTTACTTGGACTTATTTATTCCTAAGTCCCATCAAACTTACATGTTTGATAAAAGATTTCACTGGTATTCCTTTTGTCAAAGGATCAGCAATCATATCTGTAGTAGGGATATAAGTCACTTTGACTTCTCCTTTTTCTACAATATCTCGAATATAGTTATACTGGATCTCAATATGTTTTCCTTTGGAGCTATTCACACCACTATTGATTAAGCTAATTGTTGCTTGATTATCACAATAAATATCAATAGGTCATTCCAACAAATTGAGATCAAGATCAATCAAAAACCGTCTTATCCAGACAGCATGTGTAATTGCTATACTACAAGCTATATATTCAGCTTCTTGCGTATATCTAGCAACACACCCTTATTTCTTGCTACTCCAAGAAACAGCTCATCCTCCAAAGATGAATAAGTGTCCCGAAGTGGACTTTCCATCATCTTTATCACCTCCGAAATCAGCATCGGAATAACCGAGGAGTTCAAGCGATTCAGCTTGATAAACTAATCTATGCGTCAATGTACCTCTGATATATTTCATAATCCTTTTAACAGCTTCCCAATGTGTTGGTCCTGGATTACTTTAATATCGACTGACTAGACTCACAGCATAAGCTATATCAGGTCTGGTGCACAACATTGCATACATCAAGCTTCCAATTGCTTGAGCATAAGGAACATCTAATGGCTTCTGCCCCTCTCCAGGGCTTTGCTCTTTACATAATCTCTTTCCCATAACCAACGGAGTTGGTGCCGGATTGGAATTTTTCATTCCAAACCTTTTAAGAACTGATCTTAAATATTTTTCTTGGTTTAAACTTAGCATTCTAGACTTTTTATCTCGAATTATTTGAATTCCAAGAATATATGATGCATCTTCTATGTCTTTCATCTCAAACTTTTCGCTGAGATCTGTCTTGGTTTTATTCAACATTTCTATGTCATTTCCAGCGAGCAATATATCATCCATATATAAGGATAATATAGTAAACTTGCTCCTACTTTTCAAGACATATACACAATTATCTAATTTATTTTGATTAAAACCAAGTTTAGTAACTGCATCATGAAATTTGAGATACCATTGTCTAGAAGACTGTTTTAAACCATATAGAGATTTTATTAATTTGTAAACTTTATGTTCCTGTTCTTTCAACTGAAAACCTTCAGGTTATTGTATATATATTGCTTCCTTCAACTCTCCGTTAAGGAATGCAGTTTTAACATCTATTTGGAATAACTCTAAATCAAAATATGCAACAATAGCCAAAATAATTCTAATGGATACAAATTTAGCTACAGGAGAATACGTCTCCTGAAAATCTATTCCTGCCTTCTGGTTATAACCTTTGGCAACTAACCGTGCTTTGAATTTATCAATAGATCCATCAACACGATATTTCTTTTTGAGCACCCATTTGCATCCTATGGCTTTCCTATTTTCTGGTAGATCACATAACTCCCATACCTTATTCTTTTCTATGGAATCAAGTTCTTCTCTCATAGATTCTATCCATGAAGCTGATTCATGCGATTTTATCGCATCAGAAAAAGTTAAGGGATCTTGTTCTTCTATATTTGTATCTACCGAGAAACATGATGACTCACATGAATACAAATAGTAATCATCCATCCATAAAGGTTGTGTTCTTGGCCTTTTGTTGCCTACAACTGGTTGATTAGGCACATTATTTTCCATATGTATTTCATCATTTTTAAGGTTAGGTTCATTCACAATATCAGGGTCATTAGTGGGAACAACACTGTAATAATCATCATCTATTACAGTTAGAGGTTCTGTTTCCTCTCGAACTTGTTCCTCTTCCTCTAGATTCTCTAGAAATGTAGCATATCTGCTTTCAATGACTCATTTTTCTTTATTGTAAAACTTATAACCTTTTGACTTTTCTGAATATCCTATGAATCTACACTTTATTGTTTTAAAATCCAACTTATCTCTAAGTTAACATGGAATGGGAACATGGGCTATAGATCCCCACTTCCTGAGATGACTCAAATTAGGTTTCCTCCCATTCCATAATTCATAAGGTGTAGATACTACTGATTTGGCGGGAATTCTATTTAAAATATAGTTTGCAGCTAACAATGCTTCTCCCCAAAAGTTTTTAGAGAGATCAGAATGAGACAACATGCATCTAACTACATTAAGTAATGTTCTGTTTTTTCTTTCAGCAACACCATTCTGTTGTGGCGTATACGACATTATTGTATGCCTTTTAATTCTATGCTGAATACAATAACTCTCAAATTCTTTAGAGTTATATTCCCCACCTCTATAAGTTCTCAAAATTTTGATTTTCAGTCCAAGTTGGTTTTCGACTTCTATCTTATATCTCTTAAAGCAGTCAAAAGCTTATAATTTTCTAGATATAAGATAGACGTGTGCAAACTTGGAATAATCATCTATAAAAGTAATGAAATATTCTTTATTACTATGAGTTTTGACACTTAGGGGACCACAAATATCCGAGTGTATCAACCCTAAAAGTTTATTGGCTCTCTGTCCGCCAATAAAAGGTTTTCTAGTTATTTTACCAGTTAAACAATGTTCACATGGTGGCAATTGAACATTAGATAGTGCAGGAAGCAAGTTCATTCTGATAATTTCTTTTATTTTTGAAATACTAGCATGTCTTAATCTAGAATGTCACAATTCAGACTCAGAAATATAACAGGACAAGTAGTTCAAATTCAAAATTTTA